AAGAGGCTGCCGAACTGAGCAGGACAGAGAAACAGAGATATCTGGAGTCAGGAAATGCCTTCCATTTTTAACTTCTATATCAACTTATTCTCTTTCCTGTTTTTTGTTTGATTACCAGCTCTACTTTTCCATCTCATGCAGGCTGTTGAGTGCCTGCAGGTCATCATTTCTTCTGGCCATTCGTGGAGTCCCAAGAATTCATGATCCAATTAGTGCTAAACACCTCCTCTTTACTCAGCGCCAAGTTAGAGTTACAAAAGGTACACAAACATCCACCTTTAAAGATTAAATAATCATTTATTCATTATCTTTGAAGATAAGAGAATAAAGATCACACAGGAAGCTCAAAGATAATTTAGTCTTTTGGGTATGCTTATGAGTGGGTTTTTGGACCACTTAGTATACAAACTCAAAGTGCTGATACTACCTGTCTTAGTTAGGCTTTCTATTGCTGTGAAGAGACACCATGGTAACTCTTATAAAGGAAAACATTTAATTGAAGTGGTGGCTTACAGGTTCAGAAGTTTAGTCCATTATCATCCTGGTATGCACGTGGCAGTGAGCAGGCAGACACGGAAAGGTAGCTGAGAGTCCTACATCTTTCAGGCAACAGGAAGTGGTCTGAGACACTGGGTGTGGCTTGAGCATATATAAGATGTCAAAGCCTGCCTTTAGAGTTGCACTTCTTCCAACAAAGCCACACCTTCTAAAAGTGACATTCCCTTCGGGGGAGGGCATGCATTTTCTTTCAGATCACCCTGCTACCATTTGGAATGTCTGTTGGTGTTTAGGGACAAGTGTCATGGGTTTTAGAAAATCATATCAAAAAGGCTATATCTTCTTTCTTCTACCACACAGGATTAACAAATGACCAGGAAAGATGATCTGGTAACTATACAGGTAATATCAATTTCTCTTTACTGACATTTCTCATGGGCAATGGTTGTCCATCACACCAGGTAAAAAGAAGTTAGGTCCAGGACAGAACACATTCGATAGCTTGAGTCATACCACTTATGGGTGATGCGGAGACACTATTAACAGAAACATTCAATGCTCACTGTGACAGTTATGGGTGATTGGAGATTACGCCTAGAAGAAAATTGGGAATAGCTGTGTTCTAGCAAGATGACTTTTTTTTTTTTTTTTTTTTTTTTTTTGTGGCTAAGCATGGTATCAGAATGAACCAGTATATTTCCCTGGCCTTGGGGATCATGTTCTTGTTTTGGTAACTCTCAGGTGAGGTTTGAAAGTGTTTTCATGTTCTGTAACTCAATGACCCAGCCCGTTAGCAAGCCAAGGATTAGCCAGTAATTACATTATTCTCTCCACAAACACACACCTTGGATGTTAAGGGTGCAACTGGATGTCAACCCTTCTTTTTCTGATTTGGTACATCCTGCTTTCTTTAGTAGGAGGGGACCTGTGGGTGGGTTTCTCAGCAGATGAATTTAGAATTTAGTCCAAGTCTGCAGCCATGTGCTGCTGACAAACACTGTTTCTATTTGTAGGGCTTCCCTGGAGTAAGCTGCTGTGCTAGTTTTGGACTTTCTTCAGACTCAGTCCATAATACTGTCTTGACTGCAAAGTTCTCTGGCTTCCTTGCATGGACATTTCAAGGGTAAAATCACACATGGCTACATTTATGGTGAATTATCGTTTCTTTTTACTGGGCATGTGTATACATGTAGTATGTGCATATGTATATGTTTGCACATGTATAGGCACATTTGCTCATGGCACATATGTATGTACATGCATGTCAAGGTCCAAAGGTGACATTGAGTATCTTCTGTTATTTATTTACTTAGCAGGGCTTCTCACTTTATCCAGAACTCACCAATTCCAGCTAGTCTAGTTAGTTAGCATGCCCTGGGGATCAGGTCTCTGCCTCTGGAGTGCTGGAATCACAGGTCGCGACCTGCCAGGCTTTTATGTGGGTTTGGGGGATCAGAACTGGGGTACTCATGCTTTCTTAGTAAGGGTTTTAGCCTCTGAATTGTCTCCCAGCTATGGTCCTCATTATTTTGAGTTACTTTACGGATTTAACTCTTATTTTTTCTGGATTAGCATTGTCTAATAGAATATAACATGAGCTGCAGAGTAATTGTTTAGTCAATTTAAAAAGTAAAAACTAGGAAAAACAGTCCTCTCACTTTTGAAATCTAGTCTATCCAAACTATTATAATTACAGAATGTAATCAACATGAATTATTGAGGGTTTTTTGGTTTTAAACAAAGTGTTTGAAATTAACTGTGTACTTTACAACTACTTCACCTCTTCATTAGCAGTAGTCACATCTTAGTACTCAATGGCTGGCAGCTATTGGATTGCAGATGCAGGTCTAGAAAAATTCTTCCCAATGGGGAAAAAAAAACCAGAGAAGCAACAGCTCCCCTCCCGACCCCTGGTCATAATGAACAAATCACTCGTTTCAGCATCCATCACTGTCAGCATCGCCACACATCAATAGGGATGTGTGTGCATCTTAAGGGGCCTCTTTTAGCAAAAGTACCGTTCTGTGCTCCAGCAGCTTCCAGAACTTGCTAAATGTTGAACAATACTACATGTACACACTGACATAGATAATGATCTGGACAGCTAAATGCTTGCATGCTCAGAAAACATGTTTACGCTGCCTTTCATAAGCTCAACACACCTTCCATTAAAAGGTTTAAGAAACTTTTCTGCCACATCTACAGGGATGTGCAGACAGAAGAGTCAGTCCTTTTGAGTCCAGAGAACTACAGTATATGCACATAAATGAGGCATGGTCCCTCAATGTAAAGTGTTTGGGGAGGGAAGACCATGGATAAAGCAGGTAGGGAGGGTGTGTCTACCATGTAGTGAATATGAAAACGAGACCTGTTCCTTTCAACAAAGTATTCTTTTGGAAACCCATATCACAACTCCATCGAGTCCCAGGAAGATGCTCATGAAGTTAACCCTCTCTGCCTTCACCAGTTAGATCATCATGGACCAATTTGTTGGGATTGCTTGGAAGGTAGAGTCAAAGGTTCTTGGAAAATGGAACCAACTGTTTCTATGGGGGAAAGGAGAAACAACAGATATGAAAAGGCGTGGATTCTTCTGCTGTGGCAAGTTGAGGGTTTTCCTGAGAAAGGAGAAAACCAGCTTGAAACATACTAGATTTCCAAGACCAGCCAGTTGTGTGCCTTTTAGGAAGTAATGCAACCTGCATGTCTTTAGCTTCCCATGGGCTAAAAACAAAGCTTCCTTAATAGGAATTGATGAAATGATACACTTGAAGAGCTTAAAAAAAAAACAATGCCTGGGACACAACATGCATGCATGAGATGTCTGTAATTATTAGCTATTTTGTTCTCCTTTGTTCCTAAAGTTTCACAAGGCTTCAGGCAAGACTTGAACCAAGCAATAGGGAAAGACAGCAGGCAAGTACTAACAAACATCTAATCCCTCTCTAGATAGCAAAACTGTGGCAAAGAAGTGACAGCGATTAATTTATTTAGGAGCAGTTCAGGGGCTGCTCCTAAAAAATGTGGGGAAAAAATTTTTTCCTTAAAAAATTTTTAAGGAAATGGTAATGGAGGTCCCTAAAAGCAAGTGCTTAGTATAGGTACAGGCTTGAGCTGCAATGGAGATTGAAGTTAACCTGGTTTCTCCTGGTCCTGAGCCATGCACCTGCCACGCAGATAGAACAAACCCAGAGTTGGTAAAACTCAATAACATGACTCGTAGGAAATGCATGCAGGCTGAGCTCAGTAGAAGCATTTGTTAACACTACAAGGATTACTGTTAGTAGCAGGTCTTTAGCGGGAGCAGCCAAACCCTGCTTAGGATGTTATATTTTGGCGCGCTCTCCTACCCTGGCACAGTTCCTGGCCTGGCACCAGATGACACTTGGGTAACGTTTGTGGAATGAATACGTTGTAATCTGGTTTTGGGGTGTGGGGCAGGGAAGGAGAGAGTAGGACGACTTGGCCTGGGATCCAAGGACTTCTTCCAAAAGTCAAAGCCCTAAGCACTTTGCAGCTGGAGCCTAGACACTACTTGGGGGTGGGTTGAAACCCACTTCACCCCAGATGCAGGGGTTGAAATCTAGGAGCACGCCTCGCCTGGACGCAAGCATCTTCAGTGTGAGCAGCTCTCTCCGAAAGCCTTATTTTTCTGGTTTGCGGTTTATTTACTTAAGCGTTTACAAATTCCAGGAGCAAAGGGGCTTCTAGAAACCGGGTCAGGGCCGAGGTCGCGGTTTGTATTTCTTTTCGGCTTCGCAATCGCACCGTAGGCAAGTGACAGCACCGGCTCCTTTATTTGTTCGTTGGAGAGGGTTCCGTTTCTTTTACCCCCCACCGTGCGAAGAAAGACAAGACACAGCTCGGATTCAGAAAAGGTCTCTCACACGACAAGCCCGCGTCCCCAATAGCAGAAACCACTCCATTCCCAGACTTAGTTTTTCATGCAAACACTAGCACGATTTAATAAAGAATTAGAAGAGATTTAATAAGACAAACTCGCTTCGTTAATCCTTGACCGCAAACACTGTTTTTGTGCCTCGGATTTCTGAAATTCTTGGCTCCAGGACACAGGACGCGCGGAAGCTTGTAAAAACTTCCCAAAACAGTAATCCGAGCTCTTCCCCTCTCTCCGGCCCCTAGTGACACCTGGATTTTAGGAAAGGGAAGATATGACAGGCAAAGAGAATGGTTCACAGGGCTAGGAGATACCTCTGGGGTGACTGTGGGTCGCGTTTTCCAAACCTGGCAAGTCGGCTGTTCAGACTCAGTTTCGCCAGCCGGGCGGTCCCGCTGGACGCCCCTCCCCCGTCTCCGCGCGCGCGCGTCGATTTAGAACCCAGCCCCGTGTTTAGGGGTTTCTGGGACTTGTAGTCCTTTTCCACAGCCCCAGGCGCCGGCACGACCTGGGACTCGGACTACATTGCCCAGGGAGCTTCCCGGCCTATATAAGCAGCCGGGCGCCGCTTCAAAGTGCAGTAACCATGTGGATGTTCTGCTGAAGCGTTTCCTCAAGCCTGCTGGGGTGGGAGGAGAGGAGGAGGTGGTGGTGGTGGTGGAGGAGGAGGCAGGGGGTGGAGAGAAAGAAAGCGCACGCCGAGAGGAGGTGTGGGTGTTTCTCTCCCATCCTAACGGAACGAGCTCCCTCTTCGCGGATATGGGATTGCCCAGCGGCTGCTAACCCCTCTCCTGGTCCTGCTCCCCCAAACCGGCGTGGCTCCCCGGTCACCAAGGTAGCTGCTGGGGCCGGGCAGAGGGCGCGGGGAGTTGGCACTGGCTCCCGTGCGCAGAAGTTTTTGCCCTAATCTCTGGGAGTTTTTTTTTTTTTTTTTTTTTTGGTGGCTTTGCATGCACTTGGCGTGTATTTTTGGGCTTCTTTCCCTGCGAGCAATTTCGGGAGGAGGTCTGATTTATTTATTTATTTTTTAGGTTTAAACAACCCCAAATGTCCTCGACTCTAGTGACCAGCTTCAACCCCCTTCCCTGTACTGAAATGGCATTCGCCCAAGTTGGAAACTCTTGGAGTGGTTGCAGGAAATAGTTTTTTTTTCTCCTGTTGGGAAGGGGGCAGTTGAGGGGGTGTCATATGAGTTTGCTCAAGGAAATAATCTTTCTAAAAATGTAGCTAGTCCTGTTGCGCCGCATGGCTGGTAGAATAATACATGCGTGGGGGCCCCTGTGTGTGTGTGTGTGTGTGTGTGTGTGTGTGTGTGTGTGTGTCGGGGGGGGTTAAAAACGGAAGAAAACCGGGGGACGGGGGGAGTGGTGAGGGAAGAAGTGTGGACCCAACTCGTGTCCAATGGGGATGCAGGTTTTGTATACTTGGCCTCCTCCACGCGGGGAAACAAGTGCTTTGGGATCTCCTCAACACTTACCTTAGTTCCACCCCCGGCGTATTCGAAGTTTCTGCGTGCCTGATCTTTCTGGTCAGCTACGTACTGGAAATAACCAAGCTAGGTTTGCTGTTATCTGGGGGCAAGAGATCCCGCCGATTTGGCTGCTAAATTGGGAGATGAGGAGTGGGGATCTGCAGGAAACGGAGGCAAAAAGGTCGAAACTCGGATTTGGGAACATTTCTTATAGACCCTTGCGGGGTTCCCTACTCAGTCTTCTTTCTTTGTAAATATTTAGGAGCTGACTGCAAGGGAGCAGGATTCGCATCCTTGGCTGGGCGAGCTTTGACTACAGAGTACCTGACCTGGGTCAGGTGAGTGTGGAAGTCGAGTCAATAAGTCAATAGGGGGATTTGTCTTAAGCCTTTCCGCAAGTCCTCTTGTAGCAGCAGTAGAGAAGCCGAGAGAAAGAAACTGTGGTCAAAACTGGTCATGATCTTTGCCGAGTAAAGATCCAGTGCCAACCACTTTTGAAGGTGGCACAGAATTGAAGCTGCCTGATGTTTGGGGAAGCGGGGAGGCACCAAACGACAACAAAATGCAGTAAAATAGGTCTATGGGAGAGGCATGCTGATTATTTAAATTCCAAACGATGCAGAACTTTTCCTCTGTTGAGGTCTTTAAGCAAAAGTGAAATACTCCTCCCCTTCGCACATTGCCACTTTGTTCTTTTCTGTTGTGGATGCGCACGTAATCAGGGGGCTGGGCTGTAAGAAATGAAAGTGGCGAATTGAAAGAATGAGAACTTCATAAACGGGAAGTTAGAGTTTAAAAGAATAACACAAGAGCTTCCAGGATTTGACTGGAGCCACCTGAACGTCAAGGAACCCAGACTGCTTCTCTTGTTTTGATATGTGTTCTTGGAAGTGGAGCTGAGGGCAGCATTTCTCTGTCAATACAGTGGCTTATTTATTTATTTATTTATTTATTTATTGCCCTAAAATGGTCCCGCTCCATTTCTAGAATGTATAGCCTCTGTAGGGGCACACACACCCTCATAGTTGTTGCAGGTTTTTTTTTTCTTGTGAAATTTTTGTGAACCGAGTAAACAACAGGTTAATAGGGGCTGGGGAGCTGTGGGCAGCTGGTTCTTGGTAACTTCTTTAACGTCCTAAATATTTAGCTGTTCCCTGGGCTACAATCTTTGGGTTTTTCTAATTAGGGAATAAAAGCCAGATACTTCATTATGGTAGTATAATGCTTTTGTTTCCTGCTGATAAGATCCTCAGGAGTACTGGTGGAGCAGGCAGCTTTCAGATGGGAAGGTTAGTTCTTCTGTGGTCTAATGTTGACCAAAGATTGGGGGCAGTCCACTCTTCAGAGTATATTGCAGACAAGGGACAACTGGTCCTCAGAGTCTTCTCTACCTGATGCCTAAAAATTATGAGACTGCCTTGTTAGGATGTAGTAAGCCAGGTATAGAGCTGTGGCTCACAGAAGGCCTTAGGTACGGGTAAAGAAACCGAGATGCAGCCCAGACAGTCATGTATACTGCTTGTGCTGAAGTTTGTGCAGTGCTGGGGGAGATCGAGGCCCTAGGGAAAATAGTGAACGCATTGCTCTTAATGTGAGAGTTCTTAGTTAGGTCCCACCAATGATAGACTGACCATACTTACCCTGATGTATGAAGGAACTGATATCATAAAAGAATGTAGATATTTGTAGAAGGATTTAATGTTGGGCCGAATTAATTTTGGAAAGCATTATGCTGAAAGCTTGAGTCAGGATAGTGGAGAAGGAAAACGAAACAAACCCTAGTGTCCGTGTGCAGCATGAGGCTTTTCTCTTGCTTGAAGTGTATCTTGACCGTTCACATCAAGGCATCTGAGCAGGTTGAAAGAGTCAGGTGTGTCTCTGCCTGAATAATTGGAGACCTTAAACTGCTTCAGTTCAATATGTGGAATGCTGGTAACTTGGCCTGTAGGCTCTGATTTGCCTGGTAGCAATGTTTTTCTTCTTCATTATTTCATTTCTTTCTTTTTTTTTTAAAAAAAATTATTTCTTCATTTCGATCAGTTGTGTTGATGTGTTCTTGTGAGCGTGTACATTGAAAGTACAATCTGCTCTTTGACTAAATCAAATCGGAACAGAAAAATCCCATCAAGATTTCCTTCTAAAGCAAGCAGGGAAAGTTCTTGATGTTCCAAATGAATCACTCTGGTCTCTCCACGAAAGTCATTTGGGTGTTATCATCCATTCAGACAACGTGGTTCCTGTTGCCAGCCTTCTTTGAAGAATATGAGGTGCAGTGCTTGCTTAGAAGAGCAGTAGATAAACGTCACAGAAAAGATCTGTTGCCTTCGCCCTCAAAGTGTTTCTAGCTGCAAGAATATGACTACAGAGGTGGGGGTGGTAGGGGGATACTCTGGGACTAATTCAATGTTGTGCAAGGAACTGACTTGAAAAATCCACGTGGCTTTTTAGCTAATAATGATCTCATGGAATTTCTGTCTGACTTAAAAAGTGTTAGGATTCAAGTGTGCTATGTTGCTTATTCAGCGGATTTCATGAGTACCTGCTAGGTGACAACTGTGTTCTAGGTGCTTAGGGTACAGCAATAAGCAATCAAGTCTGTTCCTCAGAGGTTGTTGCTTGGTCTGTGTGTGTGTGTGTGTGTGTGTGTGTGTGTGTGTATACATGTGAAGGCTAGAGGTAGATGTTGGGTGTCTTTCTCAATTGCTGGTGGGAGGCAGTCACTGTAAATAAAGAAGTAGGTGTTACAGTATGGCAGGTGCTAAGTGCTCTGGGGAAAAATCAAGCAAGGAGAGGATGAACAGAGAACAAGCGTGGGCCAGATTTGGAGACATTGAAACCCTTGTGTATTGTTGGTGGGAATGCAAGAGGTAGCACTTAGCAGAACAGAATGGTTGCTCCTGAAAATATGAAACAGTGTTACCATAAAGTTTGAAATTTCCATTTTTAGTTATCTAAATAATTCAAAGCAATGACTTATGCAGTTTGTTTTATGCTGAAAGTTGCCTCACTCATGTTAGCCAATAGGCTGAAACAAAACCCCCGAAGTATCTATTAATACATGAATGAAAAACAAAGTGCTGCTTATGTGTTCAGTGAGCTATTATTCAGCCCAGAAGAGGAAGAAACTCTTTTCACAGTGTATTGAAACCATAAAACACTATGCTAACTGAAAGAAGCCAGCCATCACTAGACATATAGTGTATGATTCTCATAGTAGGAAGTCCCGTAAGCGTAGTCACATAGTAGGGTCCGAATGGAGATTGGTACTATCTCAGGGGCTAAAGGAAGGGGAAGTTGGATTAATGAACACAGACTTTCTCTTTGTAAAAATTAAAAAGTTCTGGCAATGGATAATACTGGTAAATTTTATTTCTGTATTATCCAAATAAGAAATAAAAAGCAAAAGTTCAAGGGGTGTTGAAGGGTGTGTTGTGGTTGGCAGTTAAGGCAGGGGTCTTCATTGTGTGGCATTTGAGCAGAGCTCCTCAAGTCCAGAGTAGAAAATGCAAAGGTCCTGAGGTGGAAGGAGGTGGGGCATGCTGGAGGCAGGGCAAGGAGGCTGGAGAGGCTGCAGGTAGGAGCAGAGGAGGTCCTCGGGTGGGAGGACAGTCAGGGTCCAGTGGTGGAGAGGCTGCAGGTAGGACCTTGGGTGGAAGGGCGGTCGGGGTCTAATGGTGGAGTGGCTGCAGGTAGGGAGCAGGTAGGACCTTGGGTGGGAGGGCGGTCAGGGTCCAGTGGTGGAGTGGCTGCAGGTAGGAGCAGAGGAGGACCTCGGGTAGGAGGGCAGTCAGGGTCCAATGGTGGAGGCCGATTTTGCACACCAGCAGTTCTGAGGATTTCTGAACCCTGACGGGGTCCCCAGTGGGGTTTTCAGCCTTGCTGAGCTCAACTGTGCTTTCTAAAGAGACTGGCCGGGCTGGCAGGACCACATACCAGGTGGAAACTTGATCCAGGGGGCATGAGGGAAACCTAGATTTCCAGACTGGTTTGTCATGTGACATTTCCTGGCATTGAGGTTCACTTAAGGAGCAAAGGCGTCTCCTTCACTGAAGAGTAGACCCATCTTTGTTCTGTTCAGCAAATTCTAAGAAGCATCTGCTGGTCCTGGGCTTTCTCCAGCTTTCTGCCCCATCACCACCCTGCTGGCCATCAGATTTCACTGAAGGGGAATGACCTGATCCTGGGCAGTATGTTTTCATCGTCTTGGGCGAGATACGCTCCATATTAGTGATTCTTCTTGAAAACTCGGGAGAGAGGCCTTCACGGGGGGCATTGCTAAAGTCCCTGATTGTAGTACTGCAAAGGTTCCATGTTCATCATCAAATGCTAGGAAGCAGTAGGCAAGTCACACAGCAAAAGAATAAGTCTGTCTCAGCCATCCCAGAGTCAGACCCCAAGCTTTTCGCCATGTGTAAAAATTAGCTGTGTATTTAAGACTCACAGTTGCACCCCTTCCATTTGCTGCCTTTTCTTTGGTACGCAGACAGTTGAGTCTCTTGTTAACATGAAGATACCTGCATTTTCCTTTTTCCAAAGATCTGTCCCACTGATGGGATTTTATTTCACTAAAAAAAAAAAAAGTTTTAATTTTATGTGTGTGAGTGTTTTCCCTGCATTTGCAGAAGTGCACTGCCTGCCTGCCTGGTGACCTCGGAGGCCAGAACAGGCACTGGATACTCTGAACTGGGGTTGCAGATGGACTGTGTGCCACCGTGCAGGTGCTGGGAACCAAACCACAGTCCTCTGAAAAGGAGCAACCATCTCTCCAGCCCCTGATTGGGGTTTTATTTAAGTAATTTATTTAAGTACAAAAATACTACATCCTTCAGAGTTCCTCATTTGCTGCACAATCCAATGTTCTCAATTGGTGTATTTTGACCTTTGAAGAAAATGAAATGGTAGTTGAAGCCCTGTTCACTTGAAAGCTATCTTATTACAGAAGAAAAGCCTAGTACTTGCTGTATATAACTATAGCATTTCTCATTTGGTAAACTAACCTTACCCTGTAAAACAGGTACTCTCTCCTGCTTTTTTTTTTTTCTTTTAAATATGGTCCATTCTAGAGATTGACCTAAGTCCTCAAACTTGGAAACTTAAGTGTTTTTTTTTTTTTTTTTTTTTTGAGCCATCTCTTCAGCCCTGTTTGCTTGTAAGGGGAATTTTTACTATAGATTTCAAGCGTAAGCCAACATTATATATTGTGGTACCTGCAAATGCCAGGAAAGTTGCACTGGGTTTGATGGATCTGGAGTTACAAGCCACATTGTGAGCTGCACAGTGTGGGTGCTGAGAACTGCACTGTGAGAGCCACAGCTGCTCTTAGCCACTGAGTCATCTC